GGTAAAGCGTGTCTTGGTAACCGTCGAAGGAGCATTGGTAATAAACGGAGAAGTCGGAGCCTGATCGGAACGCCACCGCTTGGTGTTTCTCTGCTCCGGCGGTGTTTATAATCGCCATGTCCTTCATTATAAATCCTTTGCCTTGTATAGCTGTATGTAAGTAAACAAAAAAAAAGTAAAAATCAAAACGCCGCCGTTTTATAACGATTGGCTTAAAAAGAAGCAGCGAGGAAGGATGACTCACCAAACGTCGCCGTTTCATAAGTCGGAGTCCCATCAATGAAGTTCTTACCGCCGGCAATAATAGTTTTGTCTTTCCCATCTCCGTAGATCATAACATTCCACTTACCCTTATCCATCACAACATTCTCAACGTACTTTCCAGCTTTCACGTAGATCACAAACATCTTCAAGCTTTTCTTCGGCACCATCGCCACCGCTTCGTTCACCGTCAACACATCTCCGGTTCCATCAGCCGCCACCGTCACATTAGGCTTCAACCCCTCCGCCTGTAACAACCTCCGTGTCGCCCACTCCGGGGTCTCCGGACTCATTAAAAGCCGTCTCCTTATCGGAATCCCGAAGTCACTTATCGCGGCAAGGATCTTCGACACGATGGCGAGGCTGTTGCTCGTGAACTCGGTGGAGCTACTCATGGCGGACTTCAGCTGCTGCGTGATTGTCGAGTTCGCGTACTCCGTCTTGTTCTGAGCCAACTCGTCTATCGCGTCGAAACACGTCTCGTGATCTGTCACCGTCGCGCTTAGCCAAGTCTTGAGGTCGTGGATTCTTGACGAGTTTAGCGTCTTCTTGCTCCCGTCTTCAGGCGCGTCCATGGCTGAAACGGTGTCGTTGAGCCGATCTAACGCATCTTCGATGAGATTCCCACAAACCCTTAACGCAGATTGGATCCTCTCGTCCTCCGTCTCCTTCGATAGCTTATCCGGTAAATCGGAAATCCCATCGAGCTCGTCGATGATTACTTTCAAAGAGAGCTTGAACAGGATCTCTGGATCTGTTGTGTTGGAAGACGGAAGCTTTGAGATACTGTGGAAGCAAGATTCAGGGTAACGTGTTACGCTGCAGATGGTTTTAAGCGATGTGGATGGTGTTAACTCGGGAGGTGAACTCGGTGTTGACTCGGATGAGTTCTTGTTCTTGTTGTGGACCACGGTGGCGACAACGGCGGCGATTATCACCGCGACGAGGATAACGCCGGAGACGGTAAGTAGAATCAGACGTTTTCTTGTCTTTTTCTTCAATGCTAGATCTTGAGCTTCGTCTACTTTTCCATATCCTTTGAAGGACTGCACGGAATCCATTAGTGGCCTAAAAGCAAGCTCCTTTGTTTGGTTTCTGTGTTCTTACAAAGAATTTTTATTTTTATGTCCTGTTGTTGTTATGTCAGAGGGACATGTGTTGTTGTCTTTTATAAAGTGAGGAACCAAGTAAATGTGAATATATGAATGTGACAGGCTAAATTCATGGTGCTTTCTTGGTGTGTGCAAGTGTGTAACAGTTGATCTATTTGCATGTGGAGATTCATGATTAAGCTTTAACTATTTAACTAGATGATAACCCGCGCGCATGCGCGGGGTGAAATTTTTATACTAATATTTATCATTAAACGGTTTTTAACATTTTGCAATACTACAGTATTTATTGATTAGAAAATGATGAATACAAATGTTGGTATCTTAAATCATCATAGGTCTGGACGTTTGAGACTTCGTCGGTTTTATTTTGATTGACACGTATTTTCAGATTTTGGTACTATTTTCATAAATCCTATTTGAATTTTACTTATTATCGGATTGGATTCATTTGATCTTCTCAATTCAGTTTGGATTGGATTATAATCAATATCTGAATCATCCCAAAAAAATATTTCTTAAACACTAAAAGTTGACAAAAAAATCAAAATATTTAAACTATTAATAAATTTAATTTAAAATTAGTTAAATTATCTAAACAAACTAAAAGATATTAAAAAAAGAATAAAATAAAACAAACTACAAAAATCTTTCAAATACTATAATTTGTATCTACTAAAATCAAACATTTTCACTGAAATTTTTAAATTAACATATTTATAGTATGAATATCTACTAATGATACTTCATATTCGTACGATTTATGATAATTTGTATCTTCTTTGGAAAAAAAAAGTTAAACCATTGATCATAAAATTTTCAATGTGGGATTTTACTATTTTTAGTTATTTATGGTCGTTTTAAAAAAAAATATATAACCTATAAAAAATTTTAATTTTTTATTATATATTTAAATGTGATTGTTTAGTTTATTTTAATAGTTTAAAATTAAACAAAAAAGAGAGGATACAAAAAGTGTATTATTCATAATCATTAATTACATATATATGTTAATCATATGAGGTAATTCCGTACCTTTTATTTAAAGAAATAAAATATATTGTTTTATACCTAGTAGAGTTGGTCCCTTAAATATGTCTATATATTATAGTCCTAAATGCAAGAAATTAAATGTTACATTATTTCATTCCTAGCAAAGTTGGTACATTAAAAAATTAAAGCTGAGAAGTTCTGTGAGCTTGACACGTAAGCATGCTCTCCAAGGTTGTGCATTTATGAATGTTTCAGGATTAATATATAAGGGATTACGTAACTTAATTATAAACTATACTAATCTCCATTACGCAACCTTTTTTGTTTATCCAATCAAGTGCGACAATACCATGTCTCTTCTAAACCCATTCATAACGCATAATTAAAGTTCATATTAAAGTGTAATAACCCAAAAAGTCGAAAGTCAACTCTCTCTTTATTTCGTTCAAAAGGAGGAACACATTCAAAAGTTTGCCTGTACATTTTTCAAGTCTACACATTGGAAGGAAGGATAATACAACGAAAATGTATACATAACAAGAAGAAGCTTGAATACAATAAAGAAGATTATCTTGCAACATTGAAACGCCCATGTGCATCTATAACAAGTGGTCCATCTAATTTACTGAGGCTTTAAGTCCGACCAGTGACAGCACTGCGATTGGGCTTCCAAAACATATGATTCCCGGTTATATTAGTTGATGAGTCGAATCAATTGATCAAACCTGATATGATCCGGTTATGTAGGCCCTGAATCTATAACAACTCTGAGTTTTGTATTACTTGGTTGGCTTTCATATTTGGCTTAACCAATGTGGTTCTACCCGGGTTTAACCTTGCCTTGGTTTAGGAGAATAACTTAGTAAAATCCATATCGATGAAACCAGTCTTATAAGAGTGATTTTTAAAAAGATATACTTTTTTGGCACAAATTTTCAAATTATATTAAACTCATATTTTATTGATTAACGACGGAAGATAAAGTAATAATTCAAGTTTTTTAAAAAAATCAAAGACTTAGCGAGAAAGGGAAACCAGTCGAACTTAACCAGCCTTCACCACCAATAAACTGACCAGCCGTATATTGCTGAGCCTCCGTAACATTGGTAATCACCTTATAACCCTTCCACTTTACTCTATTTTCAGTTCCAGCCCCTGCTCCTCTATTCAAATACTCTCTATAAGTTAGTGTATCCAATGCAAAATCTCCGCTCCATTCAAGCCATCCTTCGGGTCGGATCACGTCAGTGATATCCGACTGCATTATCACCGTCCTTGAATATTGTTTCCAAGGACGACCAAGATACGTTGAAAAACTTCCTTTCACGGCCAAAAGATCCGACGTGGCACCAATCTTACAGTTCTGAATCACAATCCCAGTGTTTTGGTTCGGGTCGGACCGACCTTGAGCCGTGACCATGTTTTTCTGGTTGGAATTTGGTCGGCGTGCGTTTATAACGCAGTCTTGTAAAACCGCGGCTGCGTTTCCAAAGATGAAGTCAACAGTTCCGGCTATGTGACATTTGACGAAGAACTGACGGTTGGAGTGAACGTAGAGTGTGTCTTGATAAGCTAGCATGTCGCAGTTGTAGAAAGCGGAGAAGTCTGACCCAACCCGGAGAGCAACGGCTTGATGCTTTGATGGACCCGCCGTGTTTTGGAATGTGATGTCACGTGCTAAGAATCTTTCACCGACGGCAGCTACGTACATTCACAGGAAAACAAAACATAAATTAATCGTAAAAATGTCTCTCATGTGAATATGTGATGTTACGTGGTGCGTATACCGAAATTCCTTGATCGCAGTACTAGTTTTGGAGTTTTATGAACTAATAAAATAATGTTTCGTAATTGCAACTGGAGAGTTATTTATTATGTGTGAACTGAAAATAAATAATTAAATATCAAAATTGATGTTTTAGTTTTTTTACACATATTAAAATACACTTTTATTTTAATTAATTTAATGACTTTAGTTAATACTTCTAGTATAAAGTTAAATGTATTAATTAAAGTTTATAATATTAATTTTCAAATATAAAACAATAACTAAGAGGGAATATTTACCAACGGTAGCAGAGTGGAACGTGGTGCTTCCGTCAACGACGTTTCTTTTTCCGGTGATAATAGTCTTTCCTCGACCATCTCCCATAAACATTATATTCTTCTTCTTCTTCGACACTTCCACATTCTCTCTATAAACTCCTGCTTTTATATGTATCACATACCTCTTATTACTCTTCTCCGGCGCTGCTGCTACCGCCGCCGCAACAGTCGTAAAGTCACCGCTTCCATCAGCCGCCACCGTGGCGTCTGCATTCACCACTGTTGACCCTTGAAGAAGCCTTCTGTCTCCGATGGATAACCAATTTGGCCAGCCTTCTCCGTCTAAGTCGCCTATAAGCTCCTTGAGTTTGCGGTTGTTGGCTGAGCTGGACTTAGCTTTTAGCTCGAAGTTGGCTATGTCGGTTTCTGTCATGTTCTTGATCATGGCTAATGCGTTACTACACATGTGCTCCACATGTACCTGTTTTGGTCGGTTCAGTGATAAGCTCTTACATTTTGTTTCTATTCGTATGAAAGAAATGTTGTATATGCTCATTCAGAAGTTCATACATATAGCTCTATTTAGTTATAAATATTCATTAAAAGCTTTAAATTAAATTTATGTACCTGCCCCTGCAATAAGGCATTGCGAACTTTCCGATCTGCGCTGTCGTAGGAGAAGCCGTCAAGGCAAGTCCCTTGGTTAGTAATGGCTGAGCTAATTAAGGTTTTCAGATCATCAGCATGTTTCCTCAGTGATTTTCCTTTAGGATACTGATGAAGATCCTCCACCGCCACGTGAAGCTCATCTAGCGTCTCATCAATAGTCTCCAAACAGTCATGAAGAGCCGTTACCTCACGCGCCGTCAAGCCTTTCCTTTTAGAGATAAGCTTCTTGACGGCGAAGTAATTGTGCCTCACGGCGTTTGTGGTTAGGTTCAGCGACGCTTCGATGACGTCCTTATCTGACGTCAACTTTTTTCCGGTTGCTGCCACGGCGGAGAAACAGAGTTCCGGGTACAGAGTTGAGCTGCAAACGGATTTTAAAACGGCGTGTGATGTTGGAGATAGCGTTGGGATCTTTTGGTTGTTGTTTTGGTTTGATTTTGTGACGGCGATTCCAACGACGGCGGAGAAAAAGACCAATGCTAAGACGGCGGATGAGATAACAAGTTTCTTGTTGTTCTTGAAATCTGAGAACTTGGATATTAAATCTTTTATTGGTGCCATTTTTGTGTGTTGCCAATGTTGTTTGTGAGGAAGTAGAAGATGGTGGGATAGGGTTTATATTGTTGAAATTTTGAGGTGAAAAATAGTTATATTTTATTGTTTCTTTTGTAATGTTGTTTTACTTGCTTGCTTTGTATGCATATTAATTATTTGAGTTGATCATTTTCAATCTACCTTAGGCCCACTTTTGATATCATATTATTTAAAAATTAATGATTTAGTATAATTTTTTTAACGTCTGATTAATTATGTTATTACAATAATGAAAAATATTACATAAATAATTTTACAGTTAATAATTCAATTTTTTTATGAGAATATATGTCTGATTACACCACATTGAACCACCCTATAAAATCTATGTTTAATGATATACTTTGCTCCATGTTGAATATTTTTTCTCTATTATCTACATAATTTGTATTTTTTAGAGTCGAATCTCGGATCTCATGTATAAACATTAATAAATCATTAGTTAAACCATTGGAGTAAGGATGTTTCCATATCTCGTATAAAATTTATAAAATGTTTTTGAATTCGCTTATATTATTCTGATAATTTAGAATGTATGTTTCTTGATTCGTATGAACATGCGTTACTTTTATTTCCAAGGAGGAAAAAGCGACCACTCTTGTCCACGTTTGATAGTCATATAAGTCATAATCCATAAAACCTGAGGCAACATAATAAATCTTTATAGTTACCAACTTACCATACATGAATAACATTTGAATGAAAATGTCCATCTGTTTTAATTTTTTCTTTTCTTTTTTAATGTCCATCTGTTTTAGTTACGTACGTACATACATATTTTTTTTTAAGTTACGTACATACACACGGTAATCTAACTTCAAGTGAATTCATAACTATGAAATATAAAAGTATTTTGGTATATATGTAATAACTAACTAAAACGTAAAAAATATCCCTTCATCACATGGTGTTCCCGGGATTTATGCTAGGAAAATGTATATTTTAGATGTTATTGGTAACGACAAATATTCTTAATGAATGTTTCAAAATATGTCATTGGTGCTATTTATTTGACCTACATACTTAAGTATCGTTAAAAAAACTACATATACTTAAAGTACACTGTATGTAACGACAACATTCAAAACAAAAATATGAAACACCAGGAATATTATTTTCATGATTTTATAATATTCCATATTCCTATTTAACAGTGTTGTATTAAAAAACTAGATGTCAGTATGTAGTAAGCTAATCCATTATTTTAACTGCATTTTGATCTGCGTAAGCAGAACTAACTATTAATACTACAAATGAACGTATGTACGCGTCGCTGAATCATATAGTTTCGCAGTAAAACGAACGTTCAAAATATTAGTCATTTTGATTTTTTTTCTGTCAAAACACTTACCATCTTGGTTTAGATAAAGACGAAATTGTCGGTATAGTTGTCATGTATAACAAAAACCTCTATAAGCAATAAAGCATAAAATATCATTGATCGGTGGCACCGACCAATAACTTTAAGAGACTTTAACTAAAGAGTGAAAATTGACTAAAAAATGAATATAACTATATTCCCTCTTGCTCTCAACTATGCTTCAGGACTGTCACGGGATCATCTTGTTGGTACAATCGGAATCTTTTTGTTGTTCTGATTTTCAGAGATACTTTTTGTTTGCATCACTTATTAATATAATATCATTATATATTCACCTTCCGTGTTTTGTACATTGTTATATGGTAAAGGTGAAGCTTATATTATGATTCATGATCGCTGCATGGAACAATATCGTTTCTTGTACGTCTGTTCTGCTTTTTACTCGGAACATATTGGCAATGTGTCTTCTGAATTTTACCCCAATGAACTAAAGACTTTTAACTTAAATTATTACACCGTACATAGCCTATTTTCATAAGTATGTTTGTTGAGACAATAAGCGAACCCACTCATATTAATATATAGAACAAGCCTATTTGATTAATTTAATATTTATCAAAAATAAATGTCGATTATAACCAAAATACTTCTGAGAGCAAGAGTGGTTAATAGGTCTAAAGTTTGGCAGTCTTACCGGTATCAAGCTTCTGCAAAGTCCTATAGTCCATTCTTTTATTTTTATATTTAACTAGTATTTTGGGCGGATTAGCATATGAAAAATTATATCAATATATCATCATCAATCATAATGGTATTTCAAAATATATAGTTTACTTTAATTTAAATTGATCTTAATTTTCATTATGTGTATTTTATTATTTTGTTATAAATTATGTTTATCTTAATATTGAAAGGAACAAATATATTACAATTTCGTTATTATACGTTTTTCTTTTATTCAATGAATTTTTTTCCAATGAACGAATAGTATAAATACAAATACTACAATTTAAATATTTCAAATTATAATTATAATACAAAATTACAATTATATATGTAATTCAGATATTTCAAACTTACAATTAAAGTTGCTATTTTTTATTGTATACTTTCTGAGATTTCTTATTTTGATAACTTAATTAAATAGGCCAGAAAAGTGAAAAAAAGAAGAACGGACTATTTAATTACAAATTAAAGATCAATTCCTAAAAACTGAAAAACACAATAAAATGATTATTTAGAAGATGACAATTGTCATCATTTGTTCTTCCTTCAAAGAAGTGGCATTGGTATCTCTATGAAAAAAGTCTTCTACTTTATATATATATATATATATATATATATATAAAAGAGTACTCATATGGTTAATCAGGTTTTAATCGGTAAAGAGGTTATTCCGAAAGTAACTCTATCCAATCATGTCTACTTTACTAGGAAAAATAATTCTGGTCTTAACTTTCCTTTGCTAGTGAATCTGCAAAGACATTTCAACTATTCTGAAAAGATGAATCAAGTTCATTATTCCCAAAACTATTCAAAACGCATCTAGCTTTGAAGTGAATGCATGCCATCAACCAGGTTTGTATGATTCTATCCACGGTAAGTTATCAATCTCAGTTCAGAGTCCTCGAGTCCATTCATGCTTTTGCTCTGTCGTGCCCTCTATTCTGTGGCATACTTTCTTTTGTTTTAGTACCAGCATTTTTGTAAAGGTATACATCCGACTTAACACACACATTTAGGATCACATATGAAAGGGATTTTAACCAGGAAATAATAATTAGTGTAGGGCTATATAAAAAAGGACTTTTAACAATAAAGTTGTTGAGAAAGGACCACGCGGCTGTTGCCTGTTGGACACCCAGCTAAGCCAAATCATTCAATTAATTTTTCCTAATCGTCTGGAGTTATATTATTAGACATACTGTAAGATTATTAAAAAGTCATCCAAAACGAACTATTATGCAAACCTTTATAGTGTCTAATCTTGATTAGGAGGGAAAAATTAACTAGATCCAAAGAACCGAGATCCAATCCAACCAAAACGAATTAAATACTCGAAGGGATCCAAAATTTTCAATATCCGAAAAAATAGCATGGACATTTGGGGTTCCAATCGAGCTTCGATTTTTCGGTTTTATCAAAATTAGCCCCATTCAGGTTATATGAAATTTCGGTTCAGAACCAGTTCGGATTCTATCGGATTCGGGTCGAGGTTAGTAAGTCTTTAGAGAACCGGTACAACCGGATATTCTTTCGGGGTTGGATCTCAATCGATTCTTCGGTTTAGAAATAATTAATTTTTACCTATTTTGTAACCAAAACATAAATAAAATTGGTTCTTTAGTTTTAAAGTATCTGACTTGTACATATTTTGTAATCAAAACATAACTAACATTGATTCAAAAATAAGAAAAGAGCATCAAAAATGATCATTCAAAATCAAAGGAAAGATAAATAAAATTGGTTCTTTAGTTTTAAAGTATCTGACTTGTACATATTTTGTAACCAAAACATAACTAACATTGATTCAAAAATAAGAAAAGAGCATCAAAAATGATCATTCAAAATCAAAGGAAAGATAAACATATTAATTGATAAAAAAACAAATAATGAAAGCATAAACAAAAACAAACAAGTTCTCATGAGAAACATTATTCAATGAAAACAAAACCAAAATCTAAAAATTTCAATTTTCAACCGCCACCTTCAACCATCAACCTTCATGTAATAGATAATTATTTTAAATGTTCAATAATATCTTAGTATATTTTGGATAGATATTAGAAATTGAGATCATATTTGGTACAATTTTTTTGTACCATACTTTGAACGTTTCAAGTTTTATCGGATACCCATTTAACTTCGGGTTTGGTTCGGATAATACTCATAACCCGAATACCATAAACAAGATCCATTTGGTATTCTGGTTCGGATCAGTTCGAATTTATTTTTATCGGATCAGATTCGATTCGGGTGTTTGGGTTCAGTTTATTTTGCCCAGCCCTACTAAAAAATCCAAACCAAAATATTTTGGATATTCGAAGATATCTGAATAACAGTAACATACTTTAATTAATTATTTAAGATTTAATATCCATAAATATTCAAAATATTAAAATTTTAATTATTTATTTTAGATTACCAAAAGTAGTCACAATGGATATCTAACAGTAACTAAAACACTCAAAATATCGCAAATACCTACTTGTTCTCTATCCAAATATCTAAATCAAACCTTTTTTATGATAATTTTATGTATTTAGTCTCATGTTGTTCAAATATATATATATTTCGGATTTTGAGAATTTTAAAGTATATTTGGATTTTTTTTTTTTAACTTTTACACTATTTAAATGGGTATTTGAAGGATCTGAACCCGAATAAGTATCTGAATGAGGCTTAAACCTTTAGTCCCAAAAATATAAACCCGAATAGATATAATCCGAACTGGATATCTGAATATCAGCCCTTAGTCTAGATTAAATACCGGCTGTATCATGAACTTTTACCAAGAACCAAAAACCCAAACAAGAGCCGACCCAAAAAAATCGATTCATGACGGGTATAGGTTTGGTCCGGATCCAGAGCAAAGTAACTATTGGATATTTTGTTGGACCCGCAAGACTCTGTCGAGTCTATGTCTTACTCGAG